AGCGGTGGTGGCAGCGGCGGTGGCTCCGGCAGCGGATCCGGCAAGGCCATCGTCGACGCAGCCGAGAAGGAGAAGGGCCTCCCTTACGTCTGGGGCGGCGGTGGCTGCAACGGTCCCTCTGGTGGCGGCTTCGACTGCTCCGGCCTGACCCAGTTCGCCGTCTGCAAGGCGCTGAAGAAGACCATTCCCCGCACGGCGCAGACGCAGTACCACTCGAGCATGGGCAAGCGTCTTCCTCGCTCTCAGGCCAAGGAGGGCGATCTGCTCTTCTGGGCTACCGGCGGTGATTGCGCGAACAAGGTTTCCCACGTCGGTATCTTCATCCGGGACGGATGGATGATCAATGCTGCGCATACTGGTGTTCCTGTCAGAGAACAGTCTATCTGGACTTCCTATGGTGGAGAGTCTATCTGCCCTGATGTCGTGAGGTATGTCACTCGCTTTCTTTGATACAGTGGATTCAAGCTAATAATTGGCACAGATTCTGGTAAGAATTCAGGGTACTATAATATGGGATACCAGTGGACCACCCGGCCATCTTGTCGCTCTTCTGATTTCTCTTCACTTTTGCTATACATTTGTGGTTGACTACCTGCTACTTTCTTCGCCACTGTACAAATCTTTTCAATTCTATATAGACGAACCAATTGTCTTTTTGTCTCAGTCCATTTATTGTGAATGTTCTCTAGGGCCATCGGTTCGCATTTGCTGGAAATATATATTTATGCATCCTGGAACTTTGCAGCACACTATTTACTAACCTTGTAAGGATCTGGCTCGTAACATACTTCTAGCACAATACTAGCCAACATAACATAAACCACCTCTGGGGCTTGACAAAAGTTCCAAACAGCGGAACTCCACACCAACCGTGGATCGTCCCTCATAAACACAACAAACCAGACCCAAAAGTTCAAATCGAGCTAAACAAGCTTCGAGTGAACCACGGTATATACCCTCGGGTCTTTCGGCTTTGTCCCGTGGATAGATATATAAAATGGATCAGAACCATATTATCTCCCTATTCTGCGACTCGCATAGTCATATTTCCTCAAACTGAGTCCATCCCATCATTGCTTAGAAACTGCTCACTTGAACAAATTGCCTCAAATTCTCTGTTCCGACGACAAAAAGCACAATGAAAACTTAAGACGCAGAAGTTACCGCTGGTCAACGCTTCAGACTTGAAGTTCCATTGGGAACTCTAGCAAGGCTGCGTAGCTTCCAGATATGAATTCCGTGAGTACAGACAGTCCCAAAACGGTTAGCAATGCGAACCGTGTCACGGACTGGTAGGATATTAGCGTCGAAAGCTATCACTCATTGCCTTGAGGTAATTACAAAACCGAACCATATTTCTCCTACTGCACCGTCGGACAAGACTTCTCTGAGGTGCAGGTATTTTGTCGCTTTCTGTATCGCGATAAAGTTCTGACACATACTCATGTTATCGTAGGGTCGAAGATATTCCAACCGTGACTGTGTTTACCTGGAGATATACAGTGCAACGGCTGTAGGGTTGTGGACGTGAGAAACAGGGCTTCCGCTCCACTCGGTTGCACTTATGGCAGTATTATCAAGTCGGCTAGAAGTTTCGTTCGCCCTTGAAGATACGCTCGCTGCCTATGAATGGTGGCCACTGGAATACACAATGAGTGCAGGTGAGCAGGTCGAAGCAATCCATTGGTATCAGTGAGCTGGAACATTGACGTATCTGCACTTCTCCAACATCTCCGATGTCAAGGTACCTTCGAAACAGTTAAGCCATTACCCATGCATTGCGCCTAAATGGTGGATGCGATGCCGGACATAATTCTGAATATTCTGACATTAATCTGACATAGTCTGACATAATCTGAAATACATGAAATGATCGTCACGTTCCTGCGTATCGTACCGTCCCCTGAATATGAAACTCGGTTGTTTTGAGGATCCCATTCGGTGAACTAGGCTCGATCGTAATGAGCGCCTCGCTGTCACTGCTACGGCGCTTGGAGCCGTTCGCTGAACCGACGCAGGTCATGGGATATTCGACGTACTCTCGCCCCACGCTTGCAAACGGCAGGTAGGGTTGAGGGCCACGACTCAATTTGCGGTCACTTCCTCCCAGCTCGTGGGGAGTTGATTTGGATTTGCTCCGCTTGCTGGTTACCCGACGCACAATGATGTTAAAAAGAGGCGTGAGTGCGGGAATGCAAGCGGCCAGAATAATGAGATATTGTTCGACTGCGACCCAGATCGTTAGAGTGAGCGTATCCCACGTATAATCAGCTCTAGCCGACAGCGCCGCCAAGTGCACGGTCTTGATAATAGCAGCCACCATCGCGCTAGTAGTATCGTCGTTAGAGCACAGCATACAGGAAATAGAGGCTGGGAATTATGACTAACATGATACCCAGCGAGAGCACGAAGCCGAGTCCGAATTTCACCTTGGTGGCCATCTGCAAATTCTTGATGGTAAAGAGAGGATATACCGCCAGAACGAAGTCGCTGAATGCAGAGGCAGCTACAGCGTCTCCGGTTAGCAACATCCTAAAGACAAAAGTCCGTCCGTCCGTGCCATACGTACAGCCCTGAAAAAAAGCGTAATCTCTCTGAGCCCCCGCTGGCCAGCAGGTGCCTTCAATGTCATTATCCCAAGCTTTTGCAGTAGGTGTGCACTGCCCGTAGATGGAGTAGACCCCACCGATATTAATGATAGACAGAAAGATCATCCCCGCATACATGGCTCGCTTATGCTGCTTCACCTCCGAAATAATGCGAACCAGAAACAGGGCCACCGACACCTTGCCCCAATTTGTTGACATGACATGGAACCCCTGCGAGAGCAGTTGATACTTTACTGAAGCGATTTGTTGCTCGTGTGATAGATCACGCATGTGACGCCCAGTGCCATGCATGATACTCAGAGTTACCAGTACAGTATTGATGGTGGCACAGATCAATGCAAGCAGAATGAATGCATCGTCCCAGCCGCAGCTCCGAAGGATGCGCACACGTACCCAGAATCTGGTAGCGGTGGCAAGAACGCTGACCCCGAACAGCGGCCAAGAGACCGCGTGGAGAATCCAGCCGCGGTCAGCGCCTGATGCGTCTGCCATCATCAAGAACTGCGGTGCAGGACATGGAGGTAGATAGTGTAGAAGTGAAAATCAAGGGCCTGGGGGGGGGGTGGGTGGGGTGAAAGATAGATGCAGAAGGAGAAAATCGCGATGCCATCGTCGCCCATGACAAAAATTGACATCTTTGCACGATCTAATACGGAGTAGTCGGCAAAGATGTCCCTCTGAGCGAAGATCTTGCTGGGTTCAGGGGCAATGGCTGCAAAGTCACTCTGCCGTTGTGATCTTCTCCATCTTTGCCGAATTGGGTTATGGCTTTCGGGGAATAAACCCCCATTTGGGAAATGATTCTCACCCCAGTGGATCTGTCGAGGGACCGCGGTCTGATGTATCAGTTTAAAAAAGAGATTCAGGCGATAATGCAAGAGATCTATCTTCATTTTGTGATCCTTCTTCGATGGAGTTAGTGGAAAGTGGCCGTCAGTGTAACGTTCTAGAGACACCCACAGATTGAGTGAGAGGATCCTTCCTGGTCTCCTCTCCTTCATGAACCAGATGGGGAAGTGGATACGGTGCGCTTCGTATTCCCTGTTATGGCGGGAACTATAAGAGAGCAGATATTATTGGTCAGCTCTTCCGTTGACAGCGTTGACATTTCCTCACACTGTAATTAATATGCAACGAATATGGTGGAATAGCTTTGATTCGACAGAGTCTGGACCCCGGTCATAATAATAAGCTAGTCCTCACTGTCCTCCACCCTGTTTTGCACCAAACGACCCAAAAATGTGGCAAAGAACTGCCTATCCTTTCTCAATCTGAGCACGTGGGCCCTGCACATGGAGTCTGGCCAGACGGTCCACCCAACCTTATTCCGCTTCCCAGACTAATATAAGGACACAGTATTAGCATCCCTGTCATCTCTCATTGTGTCTCAACACATCTCTTGCAATGTTTTGCTTCTGGTATCATTGCCATTACTGTCAAAATGAGGAAACATAACATCTGCGGTTTATTGCAGCTAAGATTTTCCAGAGTTGCACGTCCAAATCGAATTCATGTAAAGACATCCCCACATTGAGAAAGACAGTCTGCTATAGAAACTCTGGAGAACTATTCTCAAAGATAGGATCGAAGAAAATGGCAGGATTTGCCTGCAAATCGCCGATAAAGCGGAGAAGCCTTCAATCTACTCCGTACTTGAGGCAAGATGGAAGCTGCTACATCATCCTCCTCAGGCTAAGTTTCAACTGGACACGTCGCGTAGACTAAATGGGTTAGAAATACGCATTGCACATGCATTCAAGCCGTATGTAGCCGAGAGCCTGAGATGCAGCACAATTTCAAGGATTACTAACCACCGCAATGCCAAAGGATCCACCATAGGTTCCCCCACAAGAATCTAATCTATTATGAATCTCATAGATTCGATCAAATGTCCATTATTGTTTTCCTAGGATAGCTGGCGTGGTCGTCTCTCGGATGCCTGGAATTCCCAAGCTCATCACATCAAGAATTAACTAGAGTTAGCATTGGCTCGATCGCTACTGTCATGGAGGTCTTGATTTAGAGCGCTCATTGCAGGACAATCGTCACTTTGAGCGTGGGGGCTGTAGTCAACTCTCTAGACAACAGCTGATTGATTTTTGGCATGATATACAGAAAACGACCGTCTAGAGCATGTGTCATCTCTGCGCCTCTCTCTTCACCTGCTTTGAAAGAAACTATTGATTTATTCTGCCAAGCTGTCGAGTAATCTCTCTTAAGTTGTTGAGTAATCTATTATTCTACCAGCTGTTCACTAAACTACATCCAAATGATCTCCATGTCTCTAGGTGAGTATAAAGTCTTGCTGGCCCTGCTGCTTTGTGCATCTCTCGCTCCTCACCGCTCAAACATCTTGAACTCCACAAGATACTTCTTTCTCGGACATCCATCATGAAGGTCTCCCAGCTTATCCTCGCCTCTCTTGCCGTCGCTGTCGGCAGCACAGCGGCTGTCAAAGTCGCCACCGGCGAGCAAATCTACTCGGGCGTGAACTACGCCGTTGCCTGGAAAGAGGGCCAGGATCTTTGTCGTTTCAATCAGCTGCTTGCCCCCGTGTCTGAGAACCCCTGCGACAGGAGCTTCTGGATCGATAACGTGAATTGTGCGTCTGAGTCTTGCTCTGCTCTGATATATCGGACTTACATGGCATAGACCACCTTGCATACTGCGGCACCGACAACTTCGGCTTGTATAAGGCCGACGGCTCGCGAGTTGGTGGATGCACGAGGGTATCTGACCAGAAGTTCCACTGCGATTCCCCTTGGCATGATGTTATCAAGCACTGGGTCTGCGGGAACTAAATGCGCTCTAACGGAGGCGTAAGTGATTGTCTTGTTTATGAAGACATTTCTGATAGGAATATATCTCGGCGGTTCTGCTCGCGAGAATCTGCGGGTTGAGGACATTGCATAGTTTGGGACGTCCAGCTGGAACTAGGGATCGTCGAGCAGTTTCTTACCGAACTGTGCTAAGCTTTGTAATTTATGGATCTTAGCGAGCGTCTGAATACTTGTCTTTCCATTATGATTTCTTAGATCATTACACGGATAGAGGCGGAGTATAGGTGTTAACCGTACCATCGGCAAGCCGGGCAGAAAGGGAGCAATGATGAGAGAGATTAGTATACCCTGTTTGTACATGCAGTCTGCCATGGAAGGTATTTCGCTATCAGGGGAAGATGTGGTCCGGCAGACCTACATATTCGCGGCTGGACATGCTATCTGGTCTGATGTCCGTGGTATTGATTACCTCAGACGTATTACTTTAATATGGCTAATGAAATCCTGTCGAGGGACAGACTGGAATCAGCAGACCTTCGATGCTCGCAATCTCTTATTCGGATAGCAAGGACATATGATTAGAAGAGATGGTGTCAATCCTAGACGGACTGCAGGTCTTTGAGTAGGTACAAGACTTGAGTATTCCACATTTTTCCACCCAAATATCTCTCAGAAGCATGTTAACATACGCTCAGTACAGCAGAAAAAAGGACTTAAAGGTAATATCACGCCCAACTCTTCGCCTCCGTCGCCATGCCAACTAAAACCATCCTCAATTCCCTGTGCTATGACAACTCGGTTCCACAAGCGACCACCAATGCCTTGCAAGACCGGACCGCGAGGCCTGCAGGGTTCAAGGCCCGATGATAAGGGTGCTTTGCTCAGAGGCCGTGCTCGACGCTGCACTTGAAGGAATAGAATCCGCGGCCCCAGTTCGAAGCACAATTGTCCCCACCGTAGACAACAGTCTGCTGGGCGCCCTTACAGTGCGGCTGGGTGTAAACGGTGCAGATGCACTTTCCATTCGGGAACGTGCAGGCGGCGATATTCATGCTGTTTGAGCCGCCCCATACGTAGTCGACGCAAGTCGTAGGGCTTGGGCTTGGTTTGAGCTCGGTCATGTAATTGGAACAGCCGCCGTCGGAATAGTAGTTGACCTGGAGAGTAGCCGCGGTAGCAGCAGTAATGAAAGTGGCAAAGGCCCAGGGTGAAAGATGCATCTTGTCGAGGTGGAGGATAGCCTTGGTAGTTATGAGAGAATGTAGTAGAAAAGGTCCTAATGGAATGCTTTGATTGTGATGTTCCTTTGAAAGTAGCAGGGAGATTCTACCCTTATATAGTTCATCCCAGTTGCTACTCTATATTATCATCAATGTATTTCCTGGGTTCTTCATATGAGTTCTCCACAGTGTGTCAGCATTACTATAAGTCTCTGTCAGATTGTGGTTGGGTAATATGATCCCTATTTGGGAAATGGTCGCATTTCTTAAGCATTATCAATGAGACATGCATGCTTTGGATAATTATCGGGCCTCGGCTTTATACATTATAAGGACGGATAATAAGGTTACATGCCTATTTCCGTTTAAGTTATGCTTATCCCTAACCTTAGTCTGTGATGACAAAGTCTTACTTAAACTAGTATCTTTCAACTGCAATTTAATGTGGATTCCTTACTGACAGTAAAAATGATCTCCTTTTGTTTCGTTCCTCCTGATCAATTCTGGACTATTGTGTACTATTTAGAAGAGCATCTCTCAATTAGGAAAGTGGTACTTGAAGTTTTATCACGTCCAAATCACCGTCGCCCAGCCTGCTGACCACATCATGACCAATTAATCAATTATCCCCGACTATCCCAAAATCGGGATTGTTGCTTGGCCCAAGCTGGACTGTGCTTCTGGTACCTAGCACATTCGTCCATAGTGGAAACGCAAATTTCCAACATGAACTGAGGAAGACGTTCCAAAAGGTGAGCACTTAGAATCGGATTTTGCCCGGTCCTCAGATGTGGCAGGTTATGTCTCGTCAGTTGGACGGCAATGTCTCTGAGGCCCCGATCATTCTCTGCTGTTGAGGTGTACACCTCACCAACAGTCGCGACAAAGGAATCTTTTTCTAAGGTTCTGAGGAATGTCTTCTCAAAGCGTTCCTTCGCCTTAGCTTTTAGACCCTCGATCTGAAAATAGTCGCCTTCGGCATACATCTGAGCGTGGAAGTGTGAATCAGGAACAAGAACTGGGGCGCCTTTCTCTTCTTCCGCGTCGACAGTGGGAGTTAAATGCGTCGCTGTCACCGATCCTCCTGTTTCTGGAGGAATATCACAAGTATAATCGCCTGTGTAGACAAATTGCAGCATCTTTCTCACCAAGGTCGCGTCCCGGTCGTTTATTTTGACTTCGCCTTTCTCTCCCTGTAAGTACGAACGCTGTCAGTTTCGACTCACTTAATCCCTTGGCTTGTAGACAAGGACAATAGTACCTCAAAGTTCGCCTTACAGGCAACCTCGAAATAGTTTGACTGAGGACAGACGATGATTCGATGAGCCGGAAAGAGCTTGTCACCGCAGATGATGGAGAGATCGCTGTATGCAGGATTGAGGAATTGGCTGGTTCTATTTCAGTCGACCTTTGCAACTTGCACGAGAAGAATGGACCTTGTCCGTACCTGTGGACAAGTCCCTTCGCCTTGACAGCAGCCTCATCATCCGCTGCATCAGAACGCGTCAAATCCATCAACTTTCCATCATCAGTATCTGTTTCGCTGGACTCTGAGACTCTTAGCCTTTTTGCAGGCGTTCTGGTGCGAGCCATCTTGAGAAAGGTGGCAAATTCTACCTCATCCAGAGGTGGTAACTGAAGCGAGGTAAGCGTGAGTGTGAGAGTTGCGCCTGGCTTTACCAGCGTTGTAGAAGTACATTCACAATTTGTTAGCTAGCGCCTCATTTTTCTAGTTTGAACTCAGCCCGATCTTTTAATCACTGTTAACGGAATATCAGGCCTTTGCATCTGTCCATCTACATTGTGTATTGTGTTGTACCTAGTAACTTCTTGAATATAGTAGTCATTGCGACAGGAAGTACTTTCGACTCGTGGCTATGGCGAGACGAGTTGTCGAAGACCTCCCATTATTGTATTAACGGTCATACAATGTTTGAGTTAACATGAAGCAATCGCTCCAAAGCGTCCCTTGTTTGCGAGAAGGATCACACAATCCTTTGCATCGTAGAAAATGCAGTCAAGCTCTCTAGGGGAGAACAGCCTTCGGGCTGCTGCCAAAGGTAATCGATGTCTGCGAAGGGTGAGAAGCCATATCTGCCAGGCATCCACTGGTATGTACCTCCACATTCTTCTGTACGTCATGGTCAGCAAGGGGGACGATAATATCTCCTATAGCGTAAGGACGGAGATGACGAACACTGTGTAACGACAGCTTCAAATATCGTCATTGCACCCAGCAATTTTGAGTAGGATTTTATCTAACGTCAGGGGATTTAGTATCCTGGAACTGTGCCTCTGACGCGTGCAGTGCGCGTCAATCAAGACTGCTACCGAGTATAAGCAGGTCGAGGGTTGAATTTCATTCCTTCGCACCAACCGCCACAAAGAAAGCCAACGACGTGGTACAACATAGTTTGAGAGGACCTTCAAGCTAGGGGTGTATAAAGGTCGGTGACAACTGCTGGATTGACTAGATTCCAGCACTTCATATCCAGCACCACCACTACACTCATAAACAAATCCAACAACATGAAAGAGAGCCTTCATCTTAGTACCATCAAGGGAAAGCTATGCGGTTCGAGTCAGGAACCGGAACAGGAATCCTCCTCTCCTCAGATTCTAGGCTTATACAACTTTCGAGACGTTGGAGGCTACGAATTGTCCGGCAACAAATGCGTGCGAAGGGGGTTTCTCTTCCGCTCAGCCAACCTGAGAAACGTCTCCCAAGCTGGACTCCAGACCTTGCGAGATCACTTTGGTATCAGAAAAATCTTCGACCTTTGTTCAGACGAAAACTCCAACAAGACAACCATCGCCATCGAAGGCATTACCATACAGCATATTCCCGCCATCAGTTGGGAAGAGAGCCGAAAAACACTCCTTAAACATTTCAACCGGCTCTCTCACGATGTAGTCGAAAGTTTCATGGTGATCTATGAGCACTACTGTACCGTGTCTGCGCCTGCGTACAGAGCCATATTTGCACACATCCGGGATGGGTTCGACCTCCCTCTTCTTGTTTATGATGACTTGGGGAAGGACCTGACGGGAGTTTTCATTGCAGTTGTCCTCAAGTTGCTAGGTGCGTCGGATGAGGATATCATCGAGGAGTACCACCGTTCTGAGGCGGAAATTGCGGGACTGATTCCTGAAAAGAGTGCGAAACTTCCCGATCTTCCGATCTTTGATGGTCGTCCACCTGAAGGCCTTGACAAACACTTCCTGGCACCAAGAGAGGTTATGAGAGCGTTCCTTGTGTACCTTGACTTGACTTATGGTGGAGGTGAAGGATACTTGACGTCTCTCGGATTCGTTGAGGTCGAGATCGAACTCCTCAAGAACAATCTTATCGAGAGCAGGTCTGCGTGAATCTTATCTCACGCTGAACAGTTCGACGCTCCGGAAAGAAAGCGGGTTATTTGCCACAAATGCAATGTTTTGGAAGTGCCTTTTTAAGATTTATAGAAGAAACTGAACAGCAGAAACTGAAGACCGCCGCGTGATGCGATTGTCTTGTAATCTCAAATGTGGAGATTGACTCCCGCTTCCCAGCGCTGAGAGGAGGCTTTCATGGTCGTATAACGGGGTCGATGCTTCTGCAGCAATGGCGCTGAAGTCTGTCAATGGAAAGAGTAAGAAATTTGTATGTGCCGGGCATTGATCTCCTTGATGAAGGCACAGGGTGCAAGGTTCCGAAGCTGTCGGTTCAAGGCAGCCTTATCGATGGCGACATGGAGTGGGAAACAAAGATCATCGTTGTCAGTAACCGATGTCCAAGCTTTGCCGGCACATTGACTATGGGGTGTCACAGAGACTCCTTATTGCCATTACATTGCGGTGAGGTCGCGTTTCAATAGCGTCATGCGCAGACGAAATGTCCTTGTTCACAACCTGGCCAGTATCGGGGCGGATTCCGCGTCTCGACCGCTGTCTTTCATCTGCGACCGAAGGTCGAATCTCATCCGGCGCGTCATTGCTGCGAATGAGATTGAGGAGTTGAGAGACTTTTACGTCCTCATCGTCGCGAATGATGTCGAGTAGGCGCACGAGAAGATCGCGGTCCTGTTCAAGTTCGATAAGCTTTCGCTTCAGGGATGTCTGTCGGCGACCATCTTTGTCTTCCTCTCTCCGACATTCCGTCTGGTATTTCACGCAGTTCTCGCATGGAGGTCCGCCCTGACACTATTTGAAGAGGTTAGCAGGAACATGAGCCACTCTATTGTCTATTCAACACAAACTTTTGTTTTCCGAAGCCTGCACGCCGAACATGACAAAGACGCGTTACGACGAGTTCGATTTGAACTCAATGTGCGTTTCGCCGTCAGTGTTTGGCCATCTGAGCTCAATGCTGGAGCCAAGGAACGGACCTTGAAGGGATCTGACATTGCGGGTAGAAAAATGGGTCGATCATAAAATGGGGTGAGTATCCTCAAGAGGTATGGGTTTCTGAATAGCAAAAGACACGCGACGGATGTGGCGCCAACATAAGAACAAATAGCCTGTCATTAACTGGGCTGTGAAGGCTATGACAGTCATGTCTCGTAAATACCATCATTGAGGACTAGGGGGGCTAAAAAGTCATTGGTTTTCATGCTGCCGATCTCAGCTGCCAGCTCCAAGTTTTTGAGAATGACTGACGCAATGATCTGCAATCCACAACCCAAGTGGACGATGCATCGGATGTTTCATCCATCCACCTAATGCCATCTGGAGCTGCTAGGGGGTCTTGGTTTCAAAGACAAGTTTATCAATCTACCTCTTCCATCCAGGTTGGAGCGAGATGCGGCAAATACAGTCACACACCACCATATTGCCACAATGATATATCCCGTTTCTGATTGCATCTCCGTCTTTCAAACCACAGGTCCCAAAACGTCAGGGACTCCATCGGCATATGGACTACGCGATAACTTCTCACAAGTTCAACTCATACACGCTGTTTCTTGGTTTCCTAGCTAATCTAAGGCGCAATGTCCCTACCACCGAGGCGAAAGCAGACAAGAGCATGTGTCGCATGTCGGGAGAGAAAACAAAAGGTAATTGCAAGTTCCCTGACTCGGGCGCTGAAGATTATCAATTATTAATCCAAATGATACCCCAATATCAGCTTCCGTTGACTTGCTTGAAGCCATGGCTGACCAGACACAGTGTGACAGTGGACGGCCTTGTGCACGGTGTTTCGAAGATGGAGTCGAATGCATTGTTGACGAAGGTAGTGATCTACGACGAAAAGGGGCTCTCAAGCGCAAGGCAGCAATGATGGAACAAGACCAAGAGCTTCTAATCCAGCTCGTGAGCGCTCTTCGCGGTAGCAATGAACGCCATGTCTCTCACCTCGTGAATATGATTCGGAGTCATGCTTCACTACAAGAAATTCGCGAGTATATAACGGACCATCTGAAACTGGGTACAATCGAAGACACGTCCGAGGTGCAGGGGCTCCGGCGTCAGATTCGTCTTCTTCTTGACTTGGAAGGGCCAGCGTTTGAGTCACGGAAGACACAGCGGGTCGCTCACTCTCGTTCTTTCAACGTTCCCGCGAAGCCATGGACGGTGATCCAGTGCAGCAGTGCGTTTGTTTCGGAGCTCGTGTCACTCTGGTTTACTTGGAATCATTCCATGTTTCCGTGTATTGACCGTAGCCTATTTGTACGAGACATGCGGGCGGGAAATGTGGTATGTCAATACTGCTCACCCTTCTTGGTGAACGCCATATTAGCCGACGCTTGCGTAAGTGAACCGTTGGTTTCCCCCGTGATTTGATGATCCTTATGACGGAACCGTAGGCACTACTGGATGATTCTCACAACGAAAACGGAAGCTACATAAACAACAGATCTCATTCTCTGGCTAGATGCTTTTATCAGCAAGCACAGAGGCTCCACGAGGAGGGGGGACGACTCGGCTTGACCACTATTCAAGGATTAGCCGTTCTATGGAGATGGTAACGCAAACGATAATCTGCTATCCTCGTCCGCAATTTCTCTGTGTAGACTTGTCTGCGTCTAACCGTTCATAGCACGTGTACATTCGGTGACAACCACCTAGCTCGAGTGTATGAGGGTCGAATAGTGAACGCGTTACGCAACTTCCCCTCTTCTAACCCGTCTGCTTCGCCAAAACCCAGCGGGGATGAGCAACAGTATGACAATGTTTGTAACATAGCGATTTGGGGGGTGTACAATATTCTTTTGTGAGTGTTATATGATTGAGAACTCTCACGTCAGACCGGGTGGTTCTAAGTTATTGGCACGTCCAGGGCAAATCTGCTCACATACCAGCGCCGGTCGCTGATTGGGATTCCACAACGTGCGCGGCCGCTCGTGCTCCACGTTGAAGGTCTCGCGGGCGAGCACTGGGCTCCATATCCGAATTCCCAGCCAGCTACTACAAGCCATGAATCATGCTTGAGCAATTGCATTTGCGACTTGACTGTGATTGTCAATGACATATGCCGATTGCTCTCCCGAGACCGGAAAGATCTATCACCCGAGCCTGTAAATCAAAGTGTTGAAGCCTCGTTGAAGCGCCTTGAAGCTTGGAAGGCCCATGTACCGTCCTGCATGCGACCGAGTGATACCGAGAGGTCTTCCCCGCAGGTCCTCGGCACCCAGTGAGTGTTATCAATCGAACCCTTGACAATGTCTCGTCTCACTTATTGGGAACAGCATATACTACCACACAATCATGATCACACTGTACGGCCTTTCGCAAAAGTCCTCGGCAAGTGTACGAATGCGCAATACTAGTGCCCCCTCGAATGCAAGAGCCCGAGCCATGCGCCTTGAAGCGGCGCGGGAAGTCGCTCGGCTAGTTGAACTTCGTCGACGATTATGGGGTTTGGACCGTATTTCTGCGCCCCTCAACCAGTGGGTAACGATCTCGCTGCTCACTCTGCTTGAGGACCTGTCTACATCAGAGAGCAAAGAGGCGTTTGTCAGTCTTTGTGTTGCGCTGCGTGTATCGGCTCGGCGATGGGAGCATTCGAAGGGTCTCCTCCGGCTCACGCAGCATCTCGCATTTCAGTCACGTTTGACTTTACCCCCGGAAACCATTCCACTATACAGGGACTTTCAAGATTTGAAATGGGGCCCGGAGGACGATGAGAAATTCGGTGCACTGGCTCAAAGCTTTTGGATGTGATTCAGTGTGTGAGATATGCAGACTGGATCTCAGGCCTGTACCATCATTACCAAACTCGGATTATCCGTTACTTTCATAACGTCTCAAAGCTAACAGTCTTCGGATGAGCCACTGATCAAACCTTCTGCATATTCCTTTCTACAATCTCATCATGTAAGCCGGAGCTAGACAAATATCCACATTAGCCTATATATCTACACAGGACCATGCTGATGAAGAGGCTCCGCAAGAAAGCTTCGACCAGTAAACACTTGGGTATTTGAGTCGGACTCTGTAACATTGCTGGATCACCAAAGACTAGCCAGGCCAGCTCATTACCCCTCAACCCTCTCCACCACACAAGCTGTCCCATACGCACACACCTGCGAACAAGCCCCCATACTCGAGACATCGAACCTCATCGCCACGATTGCATTCCCGCCGCGCCCCATACATTCTCCGACCAGTCGCTCAACGGCTTCATTCCGCGACGTATACATCAGATTGGTGAATGGACGCAGTTCGCCGCCCACAGACGAGCGCACGATCGCGCCGAGATCAGTGCCCCAGTTGCGGGTTCGGACGGTGAGGCCGTAGACTGTCCCGAGGACCTTGGTGATTTTGTAGCCGGGGAGGTCGTTGGTCGTTGTGGTGATAACACCGTGGGTGTCGGTGAAGCAGGAGGGGGTGTTGTCTTGGGGTTTAGATGGAGGCATAGTATATGTAGTGAGAGGTTGCTTGAGTGTATACGGTAAAGATATTTTTGGTTCACTCAAGACAAGGATTTCGCTTTATTTTTATTTTAGACGAGGCATTTTGTCAAGGAAAATCGCGCATACAAAAGATGATTGCCTCGTATTCACATTAGCCCTGACAACAATAGGATAGTGAAGCGGAATACCTAATTAATTAATGCTAGCAGTGAATCAAGCTCATTTGTGAGAAGTTAAATCATTCACTAAAAGCCTGATCTTCTTTACCACTTCTCCTGCTTGTTGCTCTCATCTGGGGTCTTGAGGTCTTGATGCTCTCAACCAGCAATATCCAAATTCTTCCAAAATACTCTCCCCTTGCGGACCGGATAGTTGCATATAACGATAATGCATGGTCTAAAGGCAAACTCCCAGAGTCTTCTTCTCCTTTCATAAATTGAGACATGTTTGATAACCCATATTGCAGCAGAACACAGCTATATATCTGGCGCTTGGATCTTCTGCTACAGCATCTCAGGCTGCCCTTCTTCCCCATGACCAGGTGGCCAGTATCAACCACAAAAGGATGCCATGACACAGCTGGCGAATAAACGCTGGCGCTGCCAAACTTGGCGGTTTCTGCGAAGCCACTCCCCGCAGGGAAGATAAGGTCCTTAGCAGCCTAAAGCCCAATGCAACTGGTCCTTCCTGTCAGAACTCTCATGGCTGAGCTGCTTACTATCAAGAACAAGCTCCGATTCCCATACCAGTGGTCGGCGGAGGGGTGCTACAATCAATACTAGGACCGATCCGCAAATAGCGGCCCAATAAGCCTTTGACCTACGAGATCCCGCGGGCTGCTGCGGTGGGGTTTTTGACTGCAGACGAATGGAGGATATGGATTTTTTGATTAACACTCGTATGTTACATCCTCTATAGCTTCTTGCATATCTAACCGAGTTCTCTAGGACCCGACTCCTTCGCAGCTCCCGTACAGTCTGTCGTTCAAGGAACCAGACCTTTACATCAAGCCGCAGGGGTCACCTCTGCCTGCCATTTCTTCGAAATAGGATATTCAGAGTCACACCACTGGTCACCTCGGACAAGGGTCTCTGGATGATTGGCGCGGCCGCACACGTCAGAGTCCTTGTCATTGTGAAATGCAATACGCCAATCTCGGATGAAAGGCCGAATTGAGATTTGGCGTAAAATAGTAAGGAATTGGTTGTCGGTATAATGACGCCTTATCTCACTTGATTGACACTGAGTTAACCGATTGGATACCGTTATCAGACTCAACAAGAAGAGACATCGGGTGGAACGACCCCGCTGCGAAGGAGCTTCCCATGACACTCCCCTAGCAGAGGGACGATTCGGGTCAGTTGTGCCAATTGTGGTGATGCCACGTGACGGTGGCTACCTATTGCTTGCATCTCTACGAATGTACCTTAGAGAAATCAATCAGCTAATACAATACGATGCGTGAGGCACTACCACCACAATATGGTAGCATGTCCATAAGATCTGAGACCTCAGATTAAAAACTTCTTCCCCTGAAAACCTCTTCGACGAACCTTCGACAAACAGCCTCATCAGCAGGGGATACCTTGCAGGCCGGCAAGGCCAAGCACTGGATGTCATCACAGCAACCACCTCATCCATTGCATCCCCTCCTATCTGACAAACTCATCAAAACAGCATACGAGATCGCAGCGTACTACCAAGCCTTTCCAAACCAGACCAAATCTCGCGATCTTGAGACCCGTCTGGGCTATATCACCAAGCACTACCCTGACCCACTGCCGCAACGACTTACGTCAGAAGAATCAGGCAGAACAAGAGCTACCTCAGAGCCGGTTGAGCTGCAGTACCCAGAAGCTTGGCTACACTCACTAAGAACCTTCCAGACAGCACTGAGGCATTTCCTTGCCAGAACCAACAATATCACTGCTGTCAAGCCTGAAGCTGCAGCTGCACAGACACCTGAGGCCCGCCAACCGTGGCATAACATCCCAAAAGGGAAGGTACCCACGGCAACTAACTTCCAACCAACCTTCGGAGGAAAGCGCTCTTTCTTCCAAGCAGAACCTGGCTTCGACCCAAGCTCCGACGTCCAGCCTAGCGTTGTGAGTGCTGGTGCATCACCATCCACACCTGACCCAATCCAAGGCTCTTTTACATCATGTCGTTCCCCCACAGTTGAAACGCAGCGATCCGAGGACGACGACGCCACTTCAGGCGAATTACCATTAGGGCCTGACTCACCCTTCAACCCACGTAAGACCATCCGGCCTGGGCAGGCATCACCACCCAGAATGGCAGACGCCACTACAGGACCATCCGGCAAGCAGCGGGCACATACCGCCGACACAGAGGAAGTCCAAGAGATGCTATTTTCTCCTGCCCAACTCCAAGCATTGCAACATATTGTGCAGCAGGCCGTACAAACATCCATCGCGTCGATGAACACACCCGCAGCACGTACCAGAACGCCAGCTGTTGACACCACCGCGGAGCGTACTACCCCAATGACTACGATAAGTGCTGCACCAACGAACGGCAGCCACTGGCGGCCAGCCGATATTGGATATTTCTTCCCGGATATGCCATACTCCTGGGGATATGGTGATACGATCGACAAAGACGATAAAACCTATTATCGGTCTGCCTACGCCTTCACTAATCGGCTACGTGTTGCAGCAAGATCAAGGGACGTTACTAAACTATGTCAAAATTTGGACACATGCCTTCGAGGCGAAGCTGCAAAATGGTGGAATAACGAAATTGACCCTATCATGCAGACTGGTCTCATTCATTCCCTTAATATCGAAGATTGGTGTAAGCAAATCGAAAAGCGGGTAATCAGGGACGACTCGGGTCGGTTGTGCCAAAGGTAATCTGACCATCGGAGGACCTAGTCCCCTTGCACGCTTTCACTTCAATGACAAGAACATCAACTTCAATATGGAGTCAAGGGAGGGGGTATTGTTTAGGAAAGACTGGAGCGATGACCTTTGGCGAGTATCTGCTACCCGCGAAGTGATCTTGCAGGAAATCTTTTCTTCTGTGCTTGTCAAAGCCAGGGGACACGTCCGTTGCAGCGAGGACCAGTCGCACTGCTTCTCCTAGAACGACATCTCACCAAATAACAGACATGGGAGTCAGTGAAGTTCCTCCCTCAGGACGAGTTCGCAAGGCACGAAACTTGCAAGAGGCATGCGAAGTATTTGCACCGCTAAAGAATGGGGGCTCTCCCACTACCTTCATTCGTCCGACGGCTTTGTTGATACCTCCTTTTGTTTGCGACTCCGTTGTTGTCGCAATTCAGTGTTCCCTTTGTCTCACGATCCCGTTGTTTCGCGATCGAGGTCATCCAGCATTCGTCAGATACGGGTACTTGTGTTGCACTGCGGCGATTCCGTTTGTCGCCGCGTTTCTCTCCCCCGTTACAAAAGGGAGGAAGTCCGCGCGAGGGAGTGCAGTGGTTGATGGAGGAATGGGATCCTGGCTGACCATGTTGGACTGGGCTTAGATGGGAGTATGAGGTCTCCATTGCTGCAGCTGGCCGATTAATCACAGACTTGGACTCCTAGCACCCAGGCTGCCGTGGCGAGGAGCACGCCATTATTGTTGTGGCCCTCACCCAGTTCACTTCACCGGAACTATAAAAGAAAGAGTGGGACGGCTTCGTTCGGGACGTTGAGTACGTGGACGAACCACCAACAACGTATTTTCCTCCGGCCGATCCAGGAGCCCGGACACTATAGCCTTCTCCATGAGCAGGTTGTTGTTGGAGCTGAGAACGAAGTACAGGGCAGATGGCAGCAGGAGTCGGGCCAGGTTATATCGGGAGTCCTCCGGGAAGACGTATCCCCTCCGCAACTTCTATGTCCCTGGCATGCTCCACTTTACAATGGTCACCAACAGTTCATACAGCCTCGGAGCTAACACTGCGCACAATCACTGAAAGTACTCACGTCCGGCCTAGGGACAGTCCAATGCCGGCAACGTTGCGGTAGTTATGGATCTAATTGAGCATCTCATTACTGCAAACTCAATTCCTGGTTTGACTGGCTGCATCCTTCCGACCTAAGGCGATCAGAATGAGGCTTACATCGATGCAATGCTCAGCTTTTCGCGCAAACTCGACATTGCTTGTGGGCCCAATGGAAGGAATCGGGAGATAAACACTGCGCATCTGGAAAAGCTCCGGAATTCTATGGCGTCAGGAGTCCGCCAGCTTGATGCTGAGACACAAATGAAGGCCGACATCAGCCGCAAAGATTTCACACTACTTCTTGAGCATCTGGTTGCACAAAATTCAGCAAATTCATCAGCACCTATTGTCCCCTTGCAGGAAGGGAAGGACATGGTTTCTGTGTTTATGGTGGATGGAATGCAGGGCAACCAAGCCGATATTGTCATCGTTGACTGGGTTGTTACCTCTGGAGAACAGTGTGACTTGGGCTTCGCCTCTGATAATCGCTGCGCTAATGTTGCTCTGACGCGCGCACGTGATGGTTGCCAATGGTGCATTCATCAATAGTAACTGACTGGACGGGGACGAGAGCAAGGAAAAGGTGCCTCCAGAACTCTTGGTCCATCGGAAGCACTTGCTGGACAATGATTTCATTGTCCCATGCTCTGGTGCTCCGCATGACAACACCCCTACAGATGACTCTCCAGTCGCTTATCACGATGGCTCTGCGGTCGCTTGGGACGATGCCTCTGCATTCGCTTATCACGACTGCCAGACGCCCTAGCTCCCGTTCGTCCTCCTTGCCAGACATCATCATCAGATCTATTCCTAGTAACAATTACTAACAAATGACAGGGATAAAAGTGAAGCAGAGGCAGCTTGGGCCTAGTGGCCCCCTTTATATATGACGCGAATTCTGTTGAGGTAGATACAGAATGACGTACGAGCGAGATTGATGATCAACCGCACATTCAAGCGGACTTTAAGGGAGAATGACGAAGTGTGGGAGGAGGTCAGGGCGAGCTGCAAAGATACATTGAAGACATGGTGGCTCAGCACTCCTGGCCTCATGCCCAGTACGGGACCGTCGATGTCAGCAGACATGTCGAGTTCTATTGCTGAGCGTCAGTGATCTTCGCCTTAGCACGACGCAAAGAAGCGATGTATGAACTGATGAGAGGTTGCCATCGTGCTCGTCAGCCGCTGATGGAGATCCGAAATGAGCGCCTTATTGAGTGGTAGTTGAGTTGTGAAACATCGGCATCCCTAATCAGTCGTCTCTAAGCAATTTCAAATTCATCCCATATTGGAAGATAAAAGCACGAAATCACGTAGAACAAGAAAGCAATGGCACACTCAATCCTTCTGTACATCCAGTATAGCTTCTGGCTCATCAGCTGCGTGTCCTTGTGGACGGATGAGCTACCATACGCCTCAGTGATGAAAATTTTCTGAGTCCTGAGTTTGACACTGCGCAGACTTTCTCAATGATGACTGGTTTGTTTGGGGATCTCCAGACCAGATCGTACGGGCATGCGGATTCATACTATTGCCAAAGGTTATCCGCATTCATACACGGCGCATGATTCCTCGGTGACTGGCCAGAGTCATCATAGTCCTCCGGTTCAGCATTAGAACGAGCTGTCAGTGCGATTTGCTAAAAGCAGCGGATTCTCTGTCTTGCTGGCTTTGGCTATTTGGTGATACAATCCCCTGGTATCTGTTTCTAGAGAATCCTATTCTGTTCCATGTGCACATAATTTTTCCACAGAGACGCGGAGCTCTACAAGACGAGTTGTAGAGTCGCTGAAGCCCACCATCTGCTGCTCGATAGACAAATGTCGGGGTTCTTGCGACTGAAAATGGCCATTGCAGGAAAACATGAGCTTGCGTCATCAGCAGAACGTTCTAGCTACCCCAAATAATCAAATGTGCATCCTGCTGAGGCTTAGGGTGACGCCAAAGCTTACAGGCTGCACCCTTTTCGACGGTTTCAGATTATTGCACGAACATCCTCCCAAAGTCTTTCTTCGCTCATGCACGGAGTAACAGTGACACCTTCGTCCTGACTGGATCCGGGGGATGAAGGATGGAGGCTTCGCAGGAATGATCAACCGAATGAACTAGAGGTGGAATGATCCCGACAATAGGGGTCAGTACGGAGTAACGTGGGCGTAAATCCTTCACTGCTGTCTCGAATCATATTTCCCGGGCTTCCAAGCTCCATTACGCCTGTGTCAGATCAAGAGTAGTTCATAGGGGATGTCTCCACCAAGAGTGCGTAATGCCATCCCAAAACAGCCGTTTCAATCTCTCCATTGGTCGTCCATTAGGGCCATTACCCGCTCCTGATGAACTTCTCTTCCGGGGGGGGGCGACATCTGAGAGTTAGTACCAATACTTTCAAGCCTAGTATGAACCTCCTTTGACTTTCACGCTCAGAGAGGACTTAGGCTACTCCTTCGCACCGACGATCAACGAAGGAAGGGAGTCCAACAGGCCGCACTATCGCTTTTGGAACTAATCAACCTCGATACGAGACCAGATCTACAAGACTACAACATCGGTCAAACACTTAGGCTAAAAAATTTTGGGCTTCCACCAGCAAGTCAGAAACCCACAAACACTCACCTTAGCAAACCGGGAGAATGGCCCTTTCTCTGCACGGGAAACTCCCCACCTTTCTCCATTCGAAGCGGAGATCCAGATTCATCCGGCGATTAACCGCAATCTAGGGCCTAGGCCATTCACCGCCGATTTGAGTCATGGAGGGCTGGCTGAGATAACAACGGTCGAAAATCTTGATCCTGCTCGAGGGAAACGCATGGAAACGCCACGGAGTCATGGTGTTTCTCGCTGCAGATGGTCGGAGGTTGATGGCTTGGACTGAATTATGGAAGTGGTTGGAATATGGTTGGAACCCACCGGACAAGATTGCAGAGTACTGTACTTGTTTCCGCCATAATCGCTGCTGTTGGAATCAGCCGACACGTGTCTTGGTCTCCTGGATCGGAATCCTTCCTAAGGGTAGGGAGGACAACCGAACACATTGCCCTCTAAAGTGGCTGGAACTGGATGAACACCGTCGGAGATGGATGGTTCTAGTTTGCTCATTCCATTATTATTATTGGATTCGAGAATGGATATCGATACGATATCAATTGAAAAACTTGGTGGTTTCTCTATCAACGGCAAATGACACCTATCCCAAGCTCGAGACCTACACGTGGAATAAACATAGCGGAGAGAGCGCTTGGTCGAAATACCCCCACTCCGTACGGAGTTGATATCTATCTACTCCATTCTGCGCCATATCAGTCAGGTTAAGCGAGACATCATCTACTGAGTACATTGTTTCGTATTTGATGTACGCAGGAGCCAGATAAAGATCGCCATCCCACTCTCACCGTCGGTAACCGTCTCCATCATCTATCTCCACTTTCGCTCTTAAAAAGAACGTCTAGAAATGTTCTGGAACATCCGGACCCCTGCTCCCACGCCCACAATACACCTACGATCCCTGCCAGCTAAACACCGGATGCTTGCAGCCGGTGAGATGGTAGAACAAACGGGTGTTTCAAGACATCCACAGATAGATATCCGTCGGACGCTTACGCTTCACCCCTGTTGGGGTTACATGGGCGTTTGAGGGGTGCTTTATCTGAGCCAACCACGCTCCAAATGTCCTTAATAATAATGATGCGGTAGTGGTCGTATTACTTCGTAGATATTCGTGTCAGATAAGTGCTGATCTCGAACCATCCAGAAGACGCCGAGTCAGCAGTCAGCCTTGTGGGTTTCGGTGGGTTTCGGACGATGATATATATATATCGACGGAGTACTCCGTACTCCGTACGAAGGATATGTGGGTGAGATCGGCGTGATTTGAGACAGCATTATAGTTTTGCTGACGGATGT